CTTTCACTTAATGATGTTTCAATGAATGGCCCCAGAGTACAAGATGAACTATTTTCTATTATTTCCCGATTCAGAATGCATAAATACGTCTTCACAGCTGACATTGAGAAAATGTATCGTCAGATACAAATCGATCCCTCTCAACACAGCCTTCAATCCATTTTGTGGAGATCACACCCTTCTGAACCAATTAAGGTCTTTCAACTAAAGACAGTCACTTATGGAACCAAAAGCGCTCCATATCTAGCAACCCGAACACTCCAACAACTTGCACTAGATGAAGTTTCAAATTTTCCAATCGCGTGCAAAACACTGCACAACGATTTCTATGTCGATGATGTTCTAAGTGGAGCTCATACAATCGAATCAGCACTACGTCTTCAAAGTGATCTTATAGAACTGCTATCCAAGGGTGGTTTTCATTTAAGAAAGTGGTCATCAAATCATGTTGATTTACTAAAGAACGTTCCTGAATCAGATATTGAAGCTCATCCTGAACACAATTTAGACATAAACAACTCAATAGTCAAAACACTGGGTCTAATGTGGGATACCGCTCATGATGTATTCAAATATTCACTATCACAAGATACTCAAACACAAAACATTACAAAACGTCAAGTTCTGTCGGAAATAGCCAAGATATTTGATCCTTTGGGATTAATTGGACCTGTCATTCTCTTAGCTAAACTTATAATGCAACAACTGTGGAAGGAAAACTTAGATTGGAATGACAAACTTCCCTCGCATTTGAATAATCGATGGCTTGAGTTTCATGCATCATTAACTAATTTGAACAAACTATCAATAAACAGATATGTATTGTCATCCAATGAACCTGCAACTGTAGAACTTCATGGATTTTGTGATGGATCCATGGCTGCTTATGGAGCTTGTGTTTATCTTAGGTGTCAAGATGTAAAAGGAGAAACAAATGTGACGTTAATTTCATCAAAGTCTCGTGTTGCTCCATTGAAGGTGACTTCAATTCCAAGATTGGAGCTTTGTGGCGCTTTGCTACTAAGTCAATTAGCCCAAGTTCTCATCAAAGCATTGAACATTGATACTAATAATGTTTATTATTATTCTGACTCTACTGTTGTTCTTTCTTGGATCAATTCCCCATCGTCTCATTACAGTACATTTGTTTCAAACAGAATCTCAACAATTCAATCCCTAACAAACATAAGCCATTGGAATCATGTTGTTGGCACTGAAAATCCTGCAGACCTAATATCTCGCGGCTCTTTGGTTCAACCCCTCTTATCGTCATCTCTCTGGTGGAATGGACCACAATGGTTATCTGGAGAACATCAATTTTGGAAGGAAGGCTCAAACTTTCGACTTGATATAAGTGTCAACTCACTTTAAGAATTGCGTAAGGCAAATACTGTAACAGCCGTCTCTTTAAAGGTTCATGGTCATGATATATTTAGCAAGTATTCATCATTGCAGAAACTTGTACGAGTTGTAGCATATTGTCTAAGGTTTTATAAAAATACAAAATCCAAGGATTGTCTCACAGGTTCACTTACATGTTCAGAAATAAATGATTCGAGACTTTCTATTATAAAACTAGCTCAATCTCAATCATTCTCCCATGAACTGAAAACATTGAAGGAAAACAATTCTGTTGATAAATCAAGCAAACTCTTACAGCTAAATCCTTTTCTTGATGACCAAGGGCTGATCAGAGTAGGTGTTCGACTGAAACATTCAACTTTAAGTGTTGATAATAAACATCCAATTATTCTTGATCACAAACATAGGCTAACACGGTTAATTGCAGAAGATCTACATGTTCAAATACTACATGCAGGACCACAACTTTTATTGAGTTCCCTTCGAGAAACTTATTGGCCATTAAATGGCAGAAGTTTAGTCAGAAGTGTGGTTCACAAATGCCTGAAATGCTTCAAGACTAAACCTAAGGCTACCAATCAACTAATGGGACAACTACCTCAAAACAGAGTTCAACCTTCAAGACCATTCTCCCATTGTGGATTAGATTATTTTGGACCTGTATATATACATGCAAGCAACAACAAAAGGACTAAGGTTACAAAAGCATACGTTTCTCTGTTTGTGTGTTTCACTACAAAGGCCATTCACCTTGAACTAGTTGAGGATTTAACGACAAATTCGTTCCTTGCTGCCTTAAGGCGGTTTGTATCTCGCAGAGGGAAACCATACAAAATTTATTCGGATAATGCTAAAACATTTGTTGGTGCGGACAAGGAACTACAAGAGTTGAAACATTTGTGGTGTTCAGATGATCACAACAGCCAAGTCCTGTCAACTTTAGCTACACAAGGGATCACTTGGAGTTTCATCCCCCCTCATTCACCAAATTTCGGAGGGCTATGGGAAGCTGGAGTGCGGTTAGTGAAATACCACCTTAAGCGAGTAGTTCAAAATACAAAATTAACTTTCAATGAAATGTACACTTTATTAGTACAAATAGAAGCTTGTGTCAATTCACGCCCTTTAACACCTTTATCTAGCGATCCAAATGATCTTACTCCCTTAACACCTGCTCATTTCCTAATTGGAACTTCTTTCACCAGTGTTCCGGAACCTAATCTTAAAGATCTGAAATTAAATAGACTTTCTCGATGGCAACATGTTCAACAACTCTCGCAGCATTTTTGGAACCGCTGGTGCAAGGAATATCTGAACCAACTGCAGAAAATGTCAAGGTGGAATACATCAAGACCTAACATAAAAATTGATGATATAATGCTTATTCAAGACGACAATTTACCACCTTGTACTTGGAAAATTGGGCGAGTGATCGCAGTGCATCCAGGAAAAGACAATTTTGTGCGAGTTGCTACATTACAAACAAAGGATGGACTGATAAAAAGATCTATTTCAAAACTGTGCCCTTTACCAGGTCAAGAAATGGATTGAAATAACAAAATTTCATATTTCAAGGGGCCAGAATGTGTAAAAACACATAATTTACATAGCCTATATACAATTATTTCTCAAAAAGACTATATTTATCAATGTGTGATTCAAATCATATGTTTTGTTTGTTTATACATATTTTAAAAACAAACTTATAATTATTACAGTCCACTGCTACTTTCAATAAACATGTACTAGATATTTTCTATCTTTTATTTTACAATTCAATTCAATTTCACTTTACACCGTCAGATTAAACATATAAATCCTTAACATCATGCTATTAATTTACTTATCTCTGTTATAAAAAGTGCAAGTTTCTTTTCAATCAATTGGATTAATTGATTAATTGCTCAGTTCAAAAAATATTTCCTTGAAGTATACACGCTTATAATTGTTATATTTTAACCGTCCTAAATCAACTTATTAACATTTTACTTCCTTCACTTGAAAATTTAACGATGAGATTTCTTTAATAATTAAATTAATTATAATATATTCCAAATTATAATGCAATAGTATATTGAAAAAAGTATTGAGTTAGGTTCCACATATAAAAAGAGGTAATTATATATTTTTAAATTATTCAGTTTTAATAATACAGTCAGATAAAATAATATAAGACCTTAACCTCATGCTATTAATTAGCAATCGAGTTTTGTAAACAATGTTAAAGTATCCACAATCGTAGAGTATTGAAGTTTATTTCTATCAATTGTTCTATACTGGTGTTCTCATGATTTAGAGGTATACTTAGCCGATGATACCCATCCTGGTGTGGATTTGAAATAAAAGTCATTTTGAATCAAAATTCAATTATACTATTTTGGTTAAAACCGGTAGAAAGATTACCAAGTGTTCAAACATAATCTTTTTAAATATTTTTACTTTTCACCCGCTTATTATGAAGGCTGTAGAACTGGCCACATACCTGGAGTTGGTAAACTGTTATAACTCCTGTAAACACCAACTGTAGTTAATAATTTATCACAGAAACAGACAGTTGGTATAAACAACTCCACATCTCGCAGACGCTGAGTAATTTGGACATTTGTGGTGAAGTTTCCAGTCTTCAATCATTCTCATATTTCTTTACAAACTCAATTTCCATTTTACAGGTTTTGAGAACATAACATCACACATAGGAATATGACCTTATTTTATTGACTTGTATTGTAATTATAAGTAAAACAGCTGAATATGTCAAAGATATTTTAACTTGTAAATAAGTTGTGTTTAGATTTGTGTGGTTGAGGATGCTGAACTATTCTCTAAAATAGATTTAAGTTTAGTAAATTGTTTCAACCAACAACGTATTATGGTAAACCTATGTTACTGTAAACATTATTTTTTATATAACTACAGAAACTAGAGAATCAATAAAATGTATATTAAATGTATATTTTAAGAAAATATTTACTTTCACAAATTAAATTTAACGTAAACCAAAATATATTTGCAGTTATACCTTAATACAAATTACAATTTTTCGAATTTTTAATCTACTTGAGACACACACCATAACCTATGACAGAACAAAGAACAACTTAGTTAACAGCTGCTGTCCTCTCTCATGGGATCAATAAATGGAGGTTAGTTTATAAAAAAATTCTTTAAGTTGATAAATACAGAAGAAAACCTTAGTTTTAATGTGAACTAGTTAAATATATAAATATATAGTTAAATACAGAAGATGATCAATTATGGATAATTGAGATTGTTGGGTAGTGGTATAGTTTGTTATAATATTAATTTCCCAACAGCTGTATGACTGTACGACCTCCCCAGTGACCAACATGGCCGTTAATTGGCTCACTACAATCTCCCACCTGGGGCTGTATTGATTAAACATATTATCTCGTAGATTTATAAATGGTTAGCAACCATTATACTTCCAAGTACAAATACAACAATAAGAATAGCAGTGTATAAACTACACAAAGTAATAAGCACAACATTACATAAACTAAACTGAGTAAAATAACACAATACAGGGTGTGGCATTAGAGTGAGAAGAACTACAACTTTCATATAACACTTAACAGATTCAAAAGCTTAATTTAGTTTTCCTTTTGTTAGTAATTGTCATGGAAAATGGATAGGTGTCAAGGAAGATTAGAAATACCAAAATTTAAAACTCATTCTTCCTTGAAATCTAAAAGTATTTCAAAAAGGTTATATCTCATTTACACCATTTAACTATACGAATCGTTAGTTTATTCCTTTATACATTAAAACTTGAGGGAGTTTAATTGATCAACTTCAGTAAAAAATATGCAAAATCCACTGATAAACTGCATAATTATTCAAAATTTAATACATACAAACAGTTATAAGTTTTGGGTAGTTTTACAGTGTTTAATTCAATTGTTTTAATACAAGACACAAGCTATGACATATGAATTTATTGTTATATATTTGTTATATGTTAAAATCAAATAGATTAAAATATGTTTAAATAAATAACAAGGGACAAAGTTACTGAATGACAAAACATCTACAGAATCATAACATAAAATAGTTTCCCCTAGATCCATAAGAGATAAGTCTATTTTGTTTTAATTACATCTGTATTTGTGTGCTTGACTGGTTAGTTTTCAGTTAGGAATTATGATAGAAAAGTATTTGATGGATAATTGAAATGAGATTGAAATTGTCCATGTTCATTTGTCCTTTTATGTTTTGTACGATTATGTATATGTGTAGTGTCATGTACGTCTATGTGTTACGTTGCTTGTATAAGGGGTTTGGTTTATTATATTATTGAAGTTGTAATGGTTTGTTTTATCTTTTGTATGATTGTGCTTGTGTCAGAGGTTATGTGGTAGTTATTCTTCATCCTGTACAATTTGTTATGTAAAATCAATAAATGCTATCTAGTATCCACTCAAGGTACATGGAGACATCAGTGTAGACAGTCGTTGGTCTCTTTGAATACGCGCAGATCTGGTATCCGTATGACAACACCCCGATGAGGTAATATCTGTGAAGAATACAGGATAATTCATTTTGAAGGCAGAATTAATAAAAATCCGATATATTTAAACCATGATCAATTGTTTTGTATAAACAACAGTATGATTTTTTACTTTCTTAGATAATTGCAACATAGTTATGTAAAGTAAAAAGTCTAGTTTACAATAATGCTCTGTCAGTTGCAGAATAAAGATTCAAGCATGAGAAACCGATGTTTCGATGTGAACATTAAACATATAATAGACAATCATTTAACCTCCATTCTATTCTATTTTAAAATTGGTCATAGCTCGTACAAAGGCAATTTCATATATATTTCGACACATAATTGGGTACTATCTTTTCATAAGTAGACCTTGTAGTATACATAAAATGACCTTCTTGAACAACTTTAATTTTATGTATACTACAAGGTAATGCAGGCCGATTCACGTAAACATTTAGAGCCTAATTTTTTATTTATTTATATATTTGCTTAACATTTATATGAACAGCTTTAGGTGAGGAACATTGAGTAAATAAATAAGGGAATATGTAAAAAAACCGCGAACTTATTAACCTCGTTTATCGATAATTAGGTTTTTAATTCAGTTTACATTCTCCAACCCCCCCTCCCTTTAAAAATGTGTGTGTAAAGGTACATACATGACAACACAAGTTGGGTTCATTTATTCCCAACTAATACCTTACAAAACGTCACAACAACGTAAATAAAAAAATCACAGATTCATTAAAAAAGATTTCATGAACCAAGTCTTTTCTACCACTTTTCAATATCAAGGTTTTCTTACCTAGGAATATACTGTAGATGGTCAGGTAAAATCATCATGAGAGGACCACCAGAGTCTCCATTACACGTGTCCTTCGAGCGACTAGCTTCAGTACACAACTGTCCTTCGTATACCTTCAAGAGACAGTCTTCAGCTGGCACCAGCTTCATTCGTAAACGTTGCAGGACTGTAGTGGTTCTTATTTTACCATCTGCACTAGAAGATCTTGTATTAGTCACTTATTTTGATGTTATCCATTGTGACCCTTGGTTGGAATACATTATCGATAAAATAAAAGGATTACCTTATACATAAACAGCTGCTGGTATGACAATTAGTTTCGTTCCCTAGATATGAATTTTGTCAGGCCATTGTATGCAACTACATCATCAATGTATTAATACAATGTGGTATGTCAAAAGATTCATTAAAATACTGAAATACTGTCAAAATCACAGTAGTCAAAACTAGTCATGTTGATCAAATTATTAAAATGGAATAAAAAGTGATAAAACTGTAAAGGCTGGCCAGCATAAGTCAGTAACAGTTATAAGACAGTGCTGGCCAGCCTTTACAGTTTTTACTAGTTTGATCACTTTTCATTCCATTAATAATTTGATCAACATTACTAGTTTTGACTATTGTGATTTGACGGTAATGACTCTTTTTGACATACCACAATGTATGTATGTGCCTGTAGTTGAATACAGTGACCTGACGAAGTTCTAAGGAACGAACCTTGTCATACCAGCAACTGTGGTTGGATAAGGTAATTCTTTTATTTTATCAATAGTTATTTTGATTGTTTTGTTATACCTATATGTGATGATTAATATTTTTTTGTCACGGATGTTCTAAAGCCAACTGGTTTTAAAATGATTTATAGGCACACAACCGAAAATTAATAATTTTATAATCAGCGTTGAGATAAACTACCCCACACCATTACACGTTAAATAATTTCTGATGATAAAGTTGGTTGGTTTAAAGTGTAAATTAGATCTTAGCTCAGTTTTCCTTGGTAATTAAGGTTTGATATTTAGTCGAGTAACGTTATATTCTGTATGGCATACACTCATATGAATATTCATTTGAGATGTGAACACCACCTATTTTAACCCAAATATGAGTGAAGGATGAGTGTAGAATAGAGTGTGACGCCGATGCCTTGTGTAGGCTTGTTACTGACTAAGAAGCCCAGCTTTTTCATTAGTCAGGACCATTTATAGAAAGCCCGATGATCAGAACAGCTGGGTCCAGGTTCGAACCATCAAAAAGCCACACATTTTTCTCAGTACCGAACCGGCGACCTTTTGATTACCAGGCGAACATTGCATTTAAAATATAACTATATTTTAAAGAATAAAAACTAGTAGAAATTAATAACGTTGTTCTAATCTGTTAGTAATAATTGATTATATTGATAACATTTTACTCAATAACAAAGATTAAATTCAAGTGATGGTTTAATTAATATAATTGGGAAAGAACTGATAGAAAAGTAAACAAGGAAATGTAAATAGATTAGCCTATTATCAATAAATACAAAATGATTGTATGTACAAATGGCAGGCAGTTGATAGTAGACATACTACTTCTAACATAGTCTTAAATTTGAGACTCATGAATTGTACACATGTAATACCATACTGTGAAATGTAGTAAAATCTAATAATCACGAACATAAGTCAAATAATATAAAGTCTTACATTTAGTGTTACTGCCCCATCCAGCTACCTCCGCCGTATTAGGTCTAATGTTTGATTGATGAAAAGGTAAACAAATCGGCTGAACAAAATCTGGAAAACGTAAAATTGATTGAAGTGTTTGTTTTCCAATTTGATTTGCATATGAATTCAAAACACCTGTAAACATATGTTCCTAAAACCTGTCGCTACAAATTGGACTTTCAATGTTGTGTTTTATACTAAACGACCAAAAGGTAATTATATTTTTGTGGTTAATATCTTTTGTCACTTGGAATTGTATATTTTCTGTGGTATATTCTCTATGCATAGTTTGAAATTTCTTCAATTACCTAAAATAAAACATTATTACTTGTATTTTACTTTATTTGGTATTACTAATAGTTACATAATAGTATGTTAAGTCTACTGTACCATTAAAATTAATGTCTGCAGCAGTTCGAACTAGAGCAATATCGTGTGGTGACGTCATGTTGGCGTACCTGAAGTCCTGATGACGTAGAACCTCTTGTACTCTCATCCTCTGTACAGGAGGGGCACACATGTCACCATCACAGTCAGGGTCCTCATCTAGCTTGTACTCTCCTAGGAGAACCATGAGACTGCAACATAACATATACTGTAGTAGGTGTATCGTCGTGAAGTGACGTCATAATGACGCACTGGAACTCCTAGTGACTCCTCTTGTATACACATCCTCTGTACAGGAGTATACACCTAATACTGTCCTTTTATATATACATCTAACTTGTACTCTCCTATGATAACCATGAGACTGCAACATATCATATACTGTAATATGTAGTTGTATCGTGGTGTAGTGACGTCACAATGACGCACTGGAACTCCTGGTGACTCAGGGACTCTTGTATACACATCCTCTGTATAGGAGTATACACACCTAATACTCTCCTTTTATACATACATCTAACTTGTGCTTTCCTAGGAGAACCATGAGACTGCAACATAACATATACTGTAATATGTAGGTGTATCGTCGTGTAGTGACGTCACAATGACGCACTGGAACTCCTGGTGACTCAGGGACTCTTGTATACACATCCCCTGTACAGGTGTATACACACTCAATACTCTCCTTTTATACATACATCTAACTTGTGCTTTCCTAGGATAACCATGAGACTGCAACATAACATATACTGTAATATGTAGTTGTATCGTCGTGTAGTGACGTCACAATGACGCACTGGAACTCCTGGTGACTCAGGGACTCTTGTATACACACCCCCTGTATAGGAGTATACACACCTAATACTCTCCTTTTATACATACATCTAACTTGTGCTTTCCTAGAATAACCATGAGACTGCAACATAACATATACTGTAATATGTAGTTGTATCGTCGTGTAGTGACGTCAAAATGACGCACTGGAACTCCTGGTGACTCAGGGACTCTTGTATACACACCCCCTGTATAGGAGTATACACACCTAATACTCTCCTTTTATACATACATCTAACTTGTGCTTTCCTAGGATACCCATGAGACTGCAACATAACATATACTGTAATATGTAGTTGTATCGTCGTGTAGTGACGTCACAATGACGCACTGGAACTCCTGGTGACACAGGGACTCTTGTATACACATCCCCTGTATAGGAGTATACACACCTAACACACCTAATACTATCCTTTTATACATACATCTAACTTGTGGTTTCCTAGGATAACCATGAGACTGCAACATAACATATACTGTAATATGTAGTTGTATCGTCGTGTAGTGACATCACAATGACGCACTGGAACTCCTGGTGACTCAGGGACTCTTGTATACACATCCTCTGTATAGGAGTACACACACCTAATACTCTCCTTTTATACATACATCTAACTTGTGCTTTCCTAGGATAACCAAGAGACTGCAACATCACATATACTGTAATATGTAGGTGTATCGTCGTGTAGTGACATCACAATGACGCACTGGAACTCCTGGTGACTCAGGGACTCTTGTATACACATCCCCTGTATAGGAGTATACACACCTAATACTATCCTTTTATACATACATCTAACTTGTGCTTTCCTAGAATAACCATGAGACTGCAACATAACATATACTGTAATTTGTAGGTGTATCGTCGTGTAGTGACGTCACAATGACGCACTGGAACTCCTGGTGACTCAGGGACTCTTGTATACACATCCCCTGTATAGGAGTATACACACCTAATACTGTCCTTTTATACATACATCTAACTTGTGCTTTCCTAGAATAACCATGAGACTGCAACATAACATATACTGTAATATGTAGTTGTATCGTCGTGTAGTGACGTCACAATGACGCACTGGAACTCCTGGTGACTCAGGGACTCTTGTATACACATCCCCTGTATAGGAGTATACACACCTAATACTATCCTTTTATACATACATTTACCTTGTGCTTTCCTAGAATAACCATGAGACTGCAACATAACATATACTGTAATATGTAGTTGTATCGTCGTGTAGTGACGTCACAATGACGCACTGGAACTCCTGGTGACTCAGGGACTCTTGTATACACATCCCCTGTATAGGAGTATACACACCTAATACTGTCCTTTTATACATACATCTAACTTGTGCTTTCCTAGGATAACCATGAGACTGCAACATAACATATACTGTAATTTGTAGGTGTATCGTCGTGTAGTGACGTCACAATGACGCACTGGAACTCCTGGTGACTCAGGGACTCTTGTATACACATCCCCTGTATAGGAGTATACACACCTAATACTGTCCTTTTATACATACATCTAACTTGTGCTTTCCTAGAATAACCATGAGACTGCAACATAACATATACTGTAATATGTAGTTGTATCGTCGTGTAGTGACGTCACAATGACGCACTGGAACTCCTGGTGACTCAGGGACTCTTGTATACACATCCCCTGTATAGGAGTATACACACCTAATACTATCCTTTTATACATACATTTACCTTGTGCTTTCCTAGAATAACCATGAGACTGCAACATAACATATACTGTAATATGTAGGTGTATCGTCGTGTAGTGACGTCACAATGACGCACTGGAACTCCTGGTGACTCAGGGACTCTTGTATACACATCCCCTGTATAGGAGTATACACACCTAATACTGTCCTTTTATACATACATCTAACTTGTGCTTTCCTAGGATAACCATGAGACTGCAACATAACATATACTGTAATTTGTAGGTGTATCGTCGTGTAGTGACGTCAAAATGACGCACTGGAACTCCTGGTGACTCAGGGACTCTTGTATACACATCCCCTGTATAGAAGTATACACACCTAATACTGTCCTTTTATATATACATCTAACTTGTACTCACCTAGGAGAACCATGACACTGCAACATAACATATACTGTAATATGTAGGTGTATCGTCGTGCAGTGACGTCACAATGACGCACTGGAACTCCTGGTGACTCAGGGACTCTTGTATACACATCCCCTGTATAGGAGTATACACACCTAATACTGTCCTTTTATACATACATCTAACTTGTGCTTTCCTAGAATAACCATGAGACTGCAACATAACATATACTGTAATTTGTAGGTGTATCGTCGTGTAGTGACGTCACAATGACGCACTGGAACTCCTGGTGACTCAGGGACTCTTGTATACACATCCCCTGTATAGGAGTATACACACCTAATACTGTCCTTTTATACATACATCTAACTTGTGCTTTCCTAGAATAACCATGAGACTGCAACATAACATATACTGTAATATGTAGTTGTATCGTCGTGTAGTGACGTCACAATGACGCACTGGAACTCCTGGTGACTCAGGGACTCTTGTATACACATCCCCTGTATAGGAGTATACACACCTAATACTATCCTTTTATACATACATTTACCTTGTGCTTTCCTAGAATAACCATGAGACTGCAACATAACATATACTGTAATATGTAGTTGTATCGTCGTGTAGTGACGTCACAATGACGCACTGGAACTCCTGGTGACTCAGGGACTCTTGTATACACATCCCCTGTATAGGAGTATACACACCTAATACTGTCCTTTTATACATACATCTAACTTGTGCTTTCCTAGGATAACCATGAGACTGCATCATAACATATACTGTAATTTGTAGGTGTATCGTCGTGTAGTGACGTTACAATGACGCACTGGAACTCCTGGTGACTCAGGGACTCTTGTATACACATCCCCTGTATAGGAGTATACACACCTAATACTGTCCTTTTATATATACATCTAACTTGTGCTTTCCTAGAATAACCATGAGACTGCAACATAACATATACTGTAATATGTAGTTGTATCGTCGTGTAGTGACGTCACAATGACGCACTGGAACTCCTGGTGACTCAGGGACTCTTGTATACACATCCCCTGTATAGGAGTATACACACCTAATACTATCCTTTTATACATACATTTACCTTGTGCTTTCCTAGAATAACCATGAGACTGCAACATAACATATACTGTAATTTGTAGGTGTATCGTCGTGTAGTGACGTCAAAATGACGCACTGGAACTCCTGGTGACTCAGGGACTCTTGTATACACATCCCCTGTATAGAAGTATACACACCTAATACTGTCCTTTTATATATACATCTAACTTGTACTCACCTAGGAGAACCATGACACTGCAACATAACATATACTGTAATATGTAGGTGTATCGTCGTGCAGTGACGTCACAATGACGCACTGGAACTCCTGGTGACTCAGGGGCTCTTGTATACACATCCCCTTTATAGGAGTATACACACCTACTACTCTCCTTTTATACATACATCTAACTTGTGCTTTCCTAGGATAACCATGAGATTGCGACATAACATATACTGTAGTATGTGTTGTAATGCTGCAATGTCATAAGGTGACGGTACAATGACCCTCTGGATGTCCTGGTTAATGTAGTACCTTTTTATCCTCATCTACGTATCACCATCAAGGTAAGGGTTCTCATCTAGCTTGTACTAGAATCCTTGAATAACCATGACATATTAACTTCAAGTATACTGTGGTATATTCTGAGATGTCTAAATGAGATATTTTTTATATTTAAATGAGATAAAGAAACTAAATAACATAAACTGGCATTTCAGCAAAGTAAAATACCCCCGCTGCAGCAAACCTGCAAACTGAGCGAATTTCCATTTGCCTGGATAGATTTTCAATTAATCTATTTCATTAACATTTATGTTTAACGAGTTCCTAGGTTAGCTGCTACAGGGAACTAATAAAGTGTGTTTTTAATTAAAATATCAATAGCTTAGTATGAAATAAATAAATGAGTGTGATCAAAATATATCCATAAACAAGCTAAGTACAGTATTTTACAATATTCTCCATAAGAATAACATGGGAATTTTAAATTAACAATTTTTTGAATTTTCTCCGTAACCAATCACCGTACAAAAAACACTTTGATATACTAAATTATTTGTTTTTTTAAGCTCTTTAAAAAGGTATGGAGAAAAATTGAAAAATTTTGTGTTTTAAGGGGGAAAAATGAGAAAAACCCATTTTTATCCCTAGAACCCCCCGAAAAACCCCGTTGCCATGGTCCGATCGTGCTGGTTCGCGAATTCATTCAAGTTTATCCCCCCTTACAAATTTGAACGAATGGTGTTTTTGGCCTCTGGGGACATCACCATCAAAAAGTAAATCGGTCCCGGGCCTAGGTCTTACCATGCCACCTACGGTAATAGCTACTTCCCTATAGGGAAATTCGCTAAAAACCTCTCAAAACAGCCGAGCAATTTTCAAACAGTTCTAAGTCAATATGTTCTTAAGGTGATCATGTATGCCTACTTGAGAGGCTATGCGCAAAGACAGGACCGTAAGATTCTAAATTTGCTTCAATCAAGAAGAAATTTCATCATTTGGGACGAAGGCTCAAGTAAGGTGATCTCCCTGTCATGATCTTCTCATCTATACACAAGGCGGACTTAAAAAAGTATTCCGAACTATTTCTAGAGTGTACACCTAATCATTAATTTTAAAACTACCATGTCTAATTCAGAAATTTCGAACCCGTTGGGGGAAAAATAGGAAAAATGTATATTAAGTAAAGCTCTAACAAAAACCGACAATAATATCCTTTTGAAATCTAGACTGATTTCCATTTGCGAACAGAAGTTAACAGATATAAAGTGAAGGCTGTGGAGCTATGCATATGTCGCAGTACAATTGTCAAATAATACACGACAAAACCCAGTAATAATAGTTCTAATCGAGAATCTAACAGTGATCAATATCCTAATACAAATGTGAAATTCATATCGAGCTTAGATTCATATGTTTCTACAAATATATGACAATAAATTTGCAAATATCGTTAGGCACACATTCTCTACTCACGACTTAATACGATGATAGTGTACGCAGTGAGCTGCAGTTAAGATGTACCTTCTACTTATAACAGCTCCTCCACAGTAGTATACAGTCTCACCTTTCTTAACATTTACTGTAAAATTATAATCAAAATTAGGGCCGAGAAAATAATTATCTATTTTTGAATGTGTATAGATCGTTGAGCACTTAGTATATTGCGAGGCTAACATCATAGCTCCTTGATAAATTGGACTTAAACATCTAAATAAATATGTTATGATAGTATATTTCATCAATTGGACGTACAGTGACTCGAGGCGGATACATCTGATTGCTTTCAATCGAAGTTTACAACTGAGGTTACAAAACATCTTACTTTTATCCTTGACTATTAATAAAACTATAACTTCAGTATACAATAGTAGCGCAGTATACAATATGAACTTTTACTCACTATGGAGTAAAAGAACAACTTAGACCCGCAACCCATGTAATGAAAACGGCTATTTTTGCTGCAGTTTGGCGAAAAAAACTCTTTTACCTACAACTGTGATTTAATAGCAGTTTCAGTTCAGTTCTTAGAATTGAAAAGGTTCCCATAACAGCAATGTTTACTTTCATAACACTAACAGCATAGATTTACTTAACAACATGGGTAACGGACCAATGAGGTTCAAGGATGGGGAGAGAATAAGTTAAGTTGTAATATTTCGAACTTCAACTAATCAGCTGTTAAAGCCAATTTAATTGTTGAGTGGTGCAATTATTCTTTAGTACAATGTTTCGTTGCATCACTGTCAGTGTCAATGAGAGGTTATACCGGTATACGAAAACATAACATAACCATAATAAGAGTAGTGATGTTTAGTAATTAAAACACTGTCGTGGGTAAAGTAGTGTATGCCACTCGCGAAAATAGTGTTAACGACACTCGTAGAAGTTTTTTTGGGGAATCGCCAAGGCTTGTCTATACCTTTTTTTACTCGTGTCGTTAACACTATCTTTACGCAATCGTTGCACAAACTACTATAATATCCTTTAACCCTACTACTATGATTAGTTTTATTAGCTCTAAAATTGTTTAGGTGTCTCGGTTGTGGCCACTCCTTCTAAACACTGAGGTTTCGGCCATGTTATTCTCAAAGGGTATATTTAATTAATTACGTTTGATGGATGTCCATAACTTTAAGAATTTCTTAGAAATTTAGATCAACAAGAAATTGCTCAGATTTTTAAAGGGGTGTTTTACGACGAATTGTGTTAAACTTATTGTGTGACGAGAAGTCACAATTACTTTCATGCTACAGTTATATTTCGCCAAGCACTTCCGTCGAAACCACGATGCCCAGCTCCAAAATTTTTATTTTCATCTTCATTTACAATATTTAGGTGGTTTTAAGAGAAGAGATTTTTCCCCTCCACTTGACCTTCTTTGAAAACTTCAAAAGATGATTAATAGTTCAAAAGATGATTCAGCAACATGCATAAATACAAAAAATTGGTGGGGGAACTTCCCCTCAAACCCCCTAAATATGGTGAACGAAGTATAGAAAAACTTTACCACATTATTCGGAAGGTCAAAAAACAAAAATGGCAACATCTACAAGTTTCACGTATGTCTGTCTGTATGACTGTGTTTTATACTAAAACATTCACAACTCCTTCATAGTTTAAGCTACAGCTTTGAAGTTCTGTAATATGTTTCCGCTATCTTTTTGCAAACTACGATTAAAAACTTTTAAAGCATTTAAAATGGTGATTTTAAAATATCTGATGCGAAATTTTACGAAACCCGTCTGAATTCTTATTGCAAAAGCTGTAAATGAATATACTGTATTACCATATGCAAGCAGCGCCATCCAGGGATACTGTCCCATCTCTGCATCCTCACCTCCTATGATTCTACTGCTTTCGCTGAATCCACAATGTCTATTGTGCAGCAGGTCGTAGTTGTGGTGTCTTGTTAAGTCTGGAAATTAATCAAACATATTGAAATTTGTCTTTATCCAAAAAGACCCATGGAGTATATGTGCACGATTTTCAAATTGCATGTAAGACGCTCTTCTTGTTAAGCCTTTTTACAAGTAAATACAAATCCACAAATAAATAGATTCTGAGTAGAGAAAGATACAGTGTTGTAAGGCAAGTCAAACACTTACATTTAACTAACAAAATCATCTACAATAGAGATATATTTTCAAAATACGTAGTTCTCAGTACCCAAGAAGTTATTTTCAATGTGTAGCCATGCGGGCTATATTTTAAAGTTGTATTGAAAGTTATACTCTATAAGTTTTAATAAAGTAGGAAAATTTATAAATTCAATCCTTACTCTGTTTAAGTCTTGGATTTACCTTCTAAGAATCTGTTTAGGAATATGCAGAATAACATCAGGCCACGAACACTTGAGCTGAGACTTGGGTTTATATTTAACTTTTGTACATAAATAAAGACATAAACACATTGTCTTTAAATAAAGTACTCATTGAATTCCAATTTGGGTAAAACTGAATAATTAAACTTTTTTGAGAAGAAACTATGTTCCTACAAAATTTATCAGTCTTAAGTAAAGAAACACAATCGTAAATTGTTAGTCATATGCCAACCATTAAATGGTTGGCATATGATACTATTCCATCTATATATCCATGTACATATCCATGTATATGTATACTATTCCTTGTATGTAACTATAATATACGGTGTTTATAAACAACTTTACAACAAAAAAAAAAAAAAAAAACATAAAACATGTATTTTTCACTCAAAGCTATGAATTAATGATCAAAGTCTAGAATTTAAGTGCGTAGTAAGGAGTTTAAAACTAACTTCAATGAGTTTCTTTTTTACTGTTCACAAATTGTGTGTTGAACATGGGAGGTGGGAGGGGTAAACGCCCCAATTTGTGGTTTCCCTCATAATTTGAAAACGGTACGTAGTATCTCACATTGTTATATGATAAAAGTTAAATCTTATTAAATTTGCAACAACTTTGGTTCAGTACATTATCAGTGAAAACGCATAGTTCCAGAGATATACGCGCTCAAAAAGATATATCGTTATAAGGATATATAGCACTCGGAAAGAATTATTTACCTCACTTTTTTAAACCTTATTGTTTTCTCTTTACTTAATATATTCTCAAATATATTTACTTACAGAATGCTGTAGATAGTTAAATTTATTTCAATAATCTATACACAAATGTAAATATACCGGGTGTTTCAAAATGAATGACCCTGTTTTAACGCTTTATAACTTTTATACTATTAAACTTACCGCTATAAAATACACATCAAACAAAAAAGCAACTCAAAGAGTTCATGCCTTCCGAAGACACGTTATTTAACAAAATCGATCCAGCAGAACTGTAGATTTAATTGTACAAATTTGAAAAGTAATCTCAAATTTTTTTACCACTATAAATTTGGAGGTTGCTTGACGTTTTTGCAAATAACTTTTAAATGGTGAGGAAATTTATCAAAGTAGAAGGTAATATTGAAAAAGAGAATAAAATCAATTTCCTACAATTTACTATTATGCATTTCTTGAAAATACTCCAGAAAGGTACCAAAATTGCCTCAAAACGAAAAAAAATGAAAATCCCTGTCTTCAATGTAGACAATAGACATAGCAAACATTAAATTTCACACTTTATATTTTAAGGCAAATTTAGGCTACGTTTATTGAGTATTTCAAGAAATGCATAAAGAAGATTGTAGGAAATTTGATTCTCTTTCGGAATATTACAAACCTTGCACTTTGGTCAATTTCCTCACCATTTTAAAGTTATTTGCAAAAACGTCAAGCAACCTCCGAATTTCTAGTGGTAAAAAAAGTTGGAGATTACTTTTTAACTTTGTACAATAAAATCTACAGTTCTGCTGGATCAATTTTGTTAAATAATGTGTCTTTGGATGACATAAACTCCTTGAGTTGCTTTTTCGTTTGATGTGTATTTTATAGCGGTAAGTTTAAAAGTATAAAAGTTATAAAGCGTTAAAACCGGGTCATTCATTTTGAAACACCCGGTATAATTACATTTTTGTATAGATTATTGAAGTAAATTTAACTATCTACAAGTATCGGAAGCCTGAGACTGTGTGACTTGAAAGACACGACGGAATGAATGATGTTGGAGGGCCTTCCCTTTGTAAAAGAGTAACCGAATAAATACTCTTTCCAAAAAGCAACATATGGTTCTCTAGCAAGGGTTAGATAAGAGAGGTAGAACCAACCACAACTTGGGATGATGCATTGTTTTGGGTATTGATTAATGTAATTGGTAAAATATTTTACCTGAATAAACCTGAAGAATATTCAGAAGGACCAACAAGAAGTTAAAGAATATCCTGTTCGTAGACTCCATCGTAAAGTTAACTTTTTCGCACCACACTGTCAAAGTACTGTGTGCTGCTAATAACAAATACGCCTACACTTTTCATGTCAACTCATCTTGTGGTTTTCCTAGTAAGTCTATCAGATATTAGTGATCATCAAAACTAAACTGTGGAGCTTATTCTCAAACTAATTAAAGAATTAAATGATTGTCTTTTACTGTTGATTTACAACTCAATAAAATTGAAATAAACTGTGAGTATCATTGTAATCAGGCAGTGAAGCCTATTGATAAGAAAATTTTGTGACTGCAATAGATTGCTGTAATGAGTCTTTCGAAGCGAAACTCTCTTACCTTATGTATAGTTATAATATTTATCCCAAAATTTAGTTGTTATATGGTTCATAAATCTTTATTAACAAGTCAACCTAAATAGGTGCTTCAATTAAATTTATAAATCCACATTCTATAGGGAAATCACTGTTAATTTGGTTGTTAGGGTGAGTTGATTTAGCTTAAGAATTCGCGGCTCAAATATCGTTAAAACTTTCTTCTTAAATATCGCGATTAAAAATAACCCCAGTACTGTTCTTATATGTATTTTACAAAATAAATAGGGATTCTGATTTATTTTAAATTATCTTTTAATTTGATAAAGTAGATATCCTTTTCATAAATTAGGTCCGTATGCCATGTCATTTTTACACATATTGAAGAAGTCTAGTTTTTAAAGCCTCAAAGATAGCAAATATTCAAACAAATACAAATACATTACCAGTCAACAATAAAACCGTTTATATTTTAACTGAAAATGTATATGAATAATATGTCATGAGCTATTCATTTGTGGGTTTAGCAATGTATTTAATTCCAAAATAATGTAAAAACTTCAATGAATTAATGCATTTTCTTATTAAGACAATTGATCAACTATACTGTACTAACGATTTAAATAATTATAATATGATAATACAAAGTAATATGGTATTAAATAAATTACAACAAACACAATTCACACGTAATATATTACTAACTCAGATTTAAATCACATCTATACATTGATCAATAACATTGAAAACAATTAACGCGCGTTTGTAAACGTTCAAAAGAGTTCTTAAGAGATTTGCAGATAGAATCAAAATTGAATTCAAGCTCTTTTGAATCTCTCGACGTTTTCATTGAAACAAAGTAGGTGTGACTTTTCTTGTTCAGTTTTCAAACGAGAAACCTAGACACAAACTGAATAGGAACGTTCTCATTAGAGTCTAAATGATTTTAAATACTTTATTCAACCTTTAAAAAAGAGTTCTTTTCTCAAACTATTCATTCAACTGTGTAACCAAAAAATAAGAAGCTGTAATGAATGGTGATAGACGTGTTACAATTGAAAACACTCACAGTCCAAACTGATTTATGTAATTCTTTTGTTTGCTTATTTCAGATAGTGAGAAATGTATGAAATAGTTTCTCATTTAATTTAATTTAAAAGGAAGAGCCTAATATAAAGTAGGTATTAGAAGTATGTTTTATCTAATAGTGTTCAGTTGTAAATGTAATTACTATATCATGAAATCCTAACCACAACTATTTTTTTCAACATAACTTATTATAATATGTTAAAATTTAACAAGTTATTTTTTAAGTCCCTCCTGCATAATGACATTATAATTCTTGGGTATTGTAAGGGACCTGAGGCAGTACAATACAATTGAATAGTCTCAGTTTACCGACTGTAGTCATAGAAACACTAAGGTCAACTTGACTCTGTTTAAACAGCCAGATGAATACAACTTGCAATCTCAATCTGAATTGTGCATGCGAGAAATTGTACAACTTTGTTAATTAGTTCCAGTTATCGTAAGGTTGTCCTAAACAATATTTTACTTTGTAACCTCGTCATCTAGATAAGTAAGTATATATCTTAAAAATATCAGGAACAATGTGGGTGTTTTTTATTATACTATTGTGGTCGAAGATAAAATATTAAGTACGTAAATGTTAGTAAAAGTAGTATAAAATCTTGTAAATTATTCAAACTAAACAAATGTAAATCGCTTAATAACTCGCATTTTTACTAACATACTTTTGAGAAACAACGTTGCATTAATGTTATGTTAAAAAAAATAATTTACCCGAGTTTTCAACAGTTTTCTCTGAGATTTTTTAAGTGTTAGGTACTCATTAATGTACATAATCTTACAAAATCAAACTACTATAACTTGTTGTAGGTTTATTCCTAACTTTTAAGGGAATCCAAACATCCTTTGTCTGCATATTTTAATAACTGTAGTTCTTTGTCTATTTGAGTTTAGAAGAGAAATATCACCCTACAACATGGGTTGAATAGCTTGATTATAAATGACCGTGTTATTATTAAACATATAAAATAAAATTCGTTCTTCAACTTGCTAAATATATCTGCATACATCACAACTGAACACAGAAACATAGAATATCGCTGGAATACGTGATCCTTTTTAAGTGGATCTGGGTTTAGTGTTCAAAACTTGCTATAGATCAAGTGATTTGCAGTGAAATACGACAGCGAAATATTAGGTAATGCGTTCAATATAGTTATTTAATGGAATGGTTTATCTGGGTTAATGATGCATTTGGGTTTAGTTTACGATAATGATAAGGTCTATTGGGTTTCAACCAGAATATCTATTGTGTTTTGAATTTAGTCTTGTATTACACTGATATCGATTCGATTAACTAATGGCACACTTATGCAATATAAATTGGTGGCCTCATGGCAGATGTATTGCATCAAGTATCATATTGTCGTTTGATATTTGGTGAGGATTCGCAGTGCAGTCAATTATTGTAATCAATTAGTTAGGGGATACAGTCAATTAGTTTAATGGGTACAATTAATACAAGTCATGTTTATTATACACTTAGTTAATTCTTATTACAATTAATTATTATATTACCTAATGTAGGTAAGAGTAGAAAGTCGTTCTTCGTTTCTTGACCTTTCAGGTTCAAATCCCGCAAATCACCAATGGATCTTATCAAATTGATAATGCTATAACATTGTAGTAACAGCATGAAGTAATGAGTAAAACAGTTGTATGCTAGAGCCTAGCGTCCTAGTATGAGAAGGAGGGGTCCAGTAAACGGATTTTTATAATTTTAATTATCAATAGCTATTTACACTTATATTTATGAAGGTAGAAACTTATTAAAGTTGCTTTACCAGCATGCACTAGTGACCAAAATGTTTTTGCAACTATATATTTAAGTCTGACATTAAAAATTTATTTTTATACCATATCACAGATTAGTGGATTTCAGATTAGAATATGTGCAAAAACTACATTTTCTAAAGTCTCAAAACACAATTTCCCAAAGATTATTATAATCTTTTATAATACATTTTTATTCTCGTGCCTTTAGAAAGACGTCTTATATTATTTGATGATCACCCCAATGCCCCTCACCATAACCATTTGTCTTGGCTGACTCAATATATTTCAAAGATTTATGACAATCATATACCAATGTACGTTTTTATCAACACCCATTTCGTTGTGGAAATTTGTCCCAAATAAACGACCGCTTTTTCTAAGAATTCGTATTTATAATTTGATGTTTAAGTGATAACTTAGTATCTTCAAGGCCAAATATTGTTTTAGCTTTTGATGCAAAATTAAGAATAAGACTTATGAAATGAAAGAGGTGTTAAATATACCTAGGACTTGGTTAAGTTTGTTGTTGTTATTTTTAAGCGGTAAATTAATTACATAAATTTTTTTCTGTAACTATTATTAATTTTAAAGTAACTTAAAATAATACGGATAGATTATTTTTGGTAAATATATTTTTTATATATTTGGTTTGATTTAATTTAAGCTGTTTTACTCTGTAAAAAGTAGGTAAACATTCCTTCATAATAAGACCTAGGTGCAGGACCTAGTTTGCGTTTCAGGTTATCATCATAACGCTAAAACATCATGTTTAGTTTTACAATAAATAAAAACAATATCCCAACTGATCTGTCACAAGTGAAATATTAAATGGAATTAATTTGCATCGTATTTTCTGCATATTCAAATATGCTACAACATGACTTAATCGCGTATCTAAATCCTCAGAGGTTAAAATGTTATCAAACAACATTTCTTTACTACTAACATTTATTGCAGCACATTTGTTTAAAATTTGATTCAACGCAGTGAAGTGTTGATAAAAACAATACTTTTTTACTTATAAACCGATTCTGCAGCTAAGTTTAAAAAAATCCAATGAAAAATATCGTATATGCATACCTTATATTTATATTAGGTAGAAAATTACAGTCAAAGCAAAATAAAACTCAATAATTTTAAATCATTTTTAATAATACTCTGTGCTATATAATATTAAATAAATTGCACTTGGTGTCCATAGAGACAATAATTTATTTTAAAGTTGTCAAATTATCAACGCAAAAACTGTTTCCTATAAATAAATCCCCTTTTTGAGAAGTAGGCCTAGACTAGAACAGCTAGCATGAGTCTCATTCGTCCGGTGTTGGTGCGTGGTGGTGTAGGGATCGCTGTAGGCTGGGTATTGGGTCAAGTATTCTAGGGACCACCTCCACCACCTCTTGGAGGTATCGGGGTGTTGGTTCCGCGATTACCTGAGCCAATAGCTTACCACAGTATACCTCCTCATGCATGCCCGGCTTCCTGTTGGTGGGACTTGTGCTGGGGTGAAGGACGGTACAACACGGGAAGGATAAGAGGCATTGAACATCAAAGACGTGCAGCGCCAGATAATTGAAATCCCGGAGAAAAGGCTTAGAAAAAAGCCCTAAAAACTCGCAGATGTCGCAGATGTGGATTGTCTTAAATCTACCAGGAAGTTTAGGAAGGGTATGAAAACCACATTAGTATCAAGGAAAGCCACAAGCAAAGGAAGAAACACATGAGGGATAGCTAACTGCTTGAGTATGTGGGACAGCATATAAAGAGATCTTGAATTTAGGATTTGACCTAGATGTGGCCGATCTTTCAAACTGGACTAGAAGGGCAATCACAAGACAGTAAGCCTGTACTTCAGCACTGGGATTTTTATTGCAAGCCTTTAACATGATCGAATGACTCTAAAACTGTCATAAAACAAACCATTAAATTATGGGATGAATGTGTATACCTG